AATCCAAATCCGAAGAGCCTAAAATACACTTCGGTAGGTGTAATTACTTGCTCGAACTTGACTAAAATTTGCAAGACTATGATTCAATATCCTTTATATTCCTTTTGATTATTATTACCCATAAGAACGTCATCAATGAAGGAAAACACAAATTCAAATCAGAACAATCTGTGATCAATTAAAAGCTAAAAAGTCTGAGCCGCGTTGCATAAACTAACAGCATTCGAATAAACCCATTGATGTCATTAGTGATGTTTTGGGTTTGTCAGATGGTTCTATGGAGATTCACTAATGCACTTATGCTGTGTTTAATTCAGAAACCAAAGATTTTCCATGTTGTTTATAAAAGGAGTCGTATGAATTTTACGGGTAACATCGGTCAGGTATGGTAATTGGGTTTATGGTTCCATCGTCACCTAGACGAAGGCCACTTACCAACAGTTGTCACGGAAACCCCAATGCCACCCATAGCTGATTATGATCTGCAAACTATCGCGATCTGTATCATGCGCTTAGATCCATGCATTGCCTAGCATGTCTACGTGTTAACTGATCGACCGTTTATTGAAAATCACTGCCAATGGACCGGGCTGACAAGGTCTGAATATTTTCGTGACGATTCCGGGTATGGGTTATTGCTCACTGACAAAGTGATGAGTTTGGTGATTGTGGGGTTTTGTCGCGCCAGATATTTGACTAGGAGGCTGGTTAGAGGGTCTCCTTTGTATTGATTATCGAGGCTGATAAAAGCACCAAAGTGGTTCGAAAAGTCAGTTCCCAAAATTGGATGAGTCGCCACTGCAATTATACACACCGAACATAACTGATATTACAACCCAAGGTCGAGAAAAAGCTATTCCTGTTCGCATTTTAAAAGTGTTGAGCACTTTACTGTTTAATAATGGTTTGATAATCTTGTTCAGTAAGCTTTGGTGGGACAGGTGATATGTTGACACCTGAGTCAATCAGAAGCCTCAAATGAGCGACCTAAGTTAACCGTCACGGCGACTGTTTCAATAATCATGTTTTCCTATTTCCCTCCGCATAAATAAACAGAAACACTTTTTTTCTCACCGGCCCTCAAAAGGCAAGGTGTTAGCGCAAAAAAAGCAGCATGTGGTCGAACCATGAGCTGCACAATCGGATCCTACGGATTGAGTGTTAGCGCGGTATCTGATTGCTTAAGTGTTCCATCGCGTTTGTGGTTATCTCAATCTTATGTGCCATCTGGATGAATAAGTGAAAGACGTTCACTTTAGGTTGTAATCGCATCATGAATTCTAGTTGCTCGTAAGACGCATCATTGCTGGGATTAGGTAACACTTTGGACATTTTGTTGGCGATCCCACTAGTCAATGCTGGGACGACATTCCTGCTGACTAACGAATTCCGATTCCACAAAATTGGATTCCAGGTGTGTGGGCAAGTCAAAGAGCGCTTTTGTGAATAATGGGGGGAATTTGTATAATGTGGTAGCCAATGAGCAATTTACAAGAAATGCAGAAACCAGAAGATGTATCATCACATAATCAAGCTCCCATCCCAATCCTCCGAAGTTAAACAATTGCATGTTTCAAAAGGTCTTTCGAAAGACCTATCACTATAGTGTATAGTACACAAATAATTGAAACCTCCTTAGGATTCTTGCTTAGACTGTTGAACTCTTATCTGTAATAATTCGAGATTTACGAACAAATTGCAGCCGGTTTCCTTCCACTTAGATTTTATTAGTTCCCACAAATACCGAGTGAAATAATTTGACTTGTACAATTTCTTTGTGCCTTTAAACCGCTTTTTTGCAAATCTTGAATTCGATTAATTTTACGAGTTTGTGGTGGCTGTTTTACGTGCATCTACTACCATTAGCTTATTGATTGACGAGGCAACTTGGTCCACTTGTCGCCACGGCGTCCGCTCAAGCCATCTTCTTCCAGCATGCGCGAATGCGGGCGCTCAATTGGCACTTGCGCATTCGAAAATTTCCCTCAGCGTCGCAATCGCGCGTCCACACGTGTTAATCGAACACACTCAGCAGCGCGCGCGCACCGCCTGGCCTGGGCACACGTTAACGTGCGCGACGCGCAGCCGGTTGTTAAGCGCGTCGCTTGTTATTGCAAGTCGCACAGCTTTTCATGCATTGGCTAAAAAGAGGTAAAATGAACCTGTAATGCGGAAGCGCACGATCCGGAAATGTATAACAGAAAGTGTAGCACATGTTGCCGAGGCTCTTTGTTCACTCATCGAAACTGTGGTAGTTAGGCCACCTGCCGCACACAAACGAGTTGACAGTAAGAAAGACATCAGGGGGTGGTAAAAGGTTAAGTCGCACAAGAGCGATACTCATGAGGTGAATTGCTCTCTTAAGCCTACGGTGCACAAGCGGTAGTTCTGTACTTTAGTGCCAAGGTAAGAATTGATGAATTTCATGCCGTTGTACTTGTCTAAGTCGTCTTTGTGTTAGAGCGTAAGGCTGGAAATGACCAAGTGCTCCTTAAATTTTATCGACTGAAATGTCCTAACGAAACCTCTCATCTCAAAGGCAGTACCAGATATCAATATCAGGGTTGTTTCAATGATTACATGTAGAAACCTAAAGTATGGGTTAATATCAGCATCTTTAAAGGGATTTGAGGGTTTGAGCCAGCATTATTCTTGAGGTTGGTGAAGTTAATTTCGTTACATGAGTATTCAGTTCAGGGGTGGCTTTAGTTTATGCTAATTCGGAAAAGGCATTTTTAATTGAGTGTTTTATATTTTACTTCACATTATTTTTCTCACGTAATAACCAGACCACGAATTTGTCGCCTTGTCGAAGGGCGTGATTTTACCTAACGATGAAAAGAATTTATCAATTGAATTGTCATTTTCAAATAATTGAATATTTAGATGCGAAGCATTCACACGACGTCACTGCGTCCGCCATCTACACAGCTCTTTAACTCAAACGCTGTGACCTCATGCACATCTTTGGACCTATCAACCTGGTAGAGCAAAATGAGAGGTCAACTGAGCTAGTACACAGGCAATGTTATGACAAGTTGACCGAGCCATGGGACAAAGTTAAGCTGATTTTTTGTGCTTGAGGTGATGGACGACGATCTGATAGCTGTAATTTCAGTATACGCAGCGGGAAGTTCAACACGATCGCTAATACTAAATAACAGATGAGTTGAATAAGCCCTCATTATCACTTATTAAGTCGAAAATGCATGCCAAATTGTGTCTCAATACATATGGGTTGAAAGGAAGGTGATAATGGGCCATCACAATAAGTTGAGAATCGACAGTGGTTCAGAGAAACCAGTTTTTTGTGAATGTCTCGAGCATGTGTGCCAAGTTCTAGGAAATGTTAAAGTGGGCCTCTCAGGATAGTCAGATATCATATATGGTATATGATAGTACTAAATTCGTAGATCAGTTATGATTTTTGCCAACTTTTCTTGGGGTTCTTGCTTGAATTTCATGTTACATGGTCACGAACCTTATTGTAAGACTGGTCAAAAGAGACGCCCATTTTATTCAAACGCAGTCATAGAATGCATGAACGGAATCCTGTTTAACACAGTTTACTTATACGATAACTTGTCGTAAAGCATACATGCGGTCACAGCCGGAGATTAAGTAACACGTTTATAGTCTAGTGCGCATGTCATAACTCTGCTCCATGATTCAAACCTATCTTAGGAAAGACGGGAAACTACTGTGTGCTTAGCTGCCACCTGTAAAAGCCGGTGGCTCCCTTAAGCGTTTTCATATCAGTTAGAAAAAACACGTTTTTAATTTGCATGCTTCTCACTGCCTTGATCACAGCAGAGGGCTCACTTTCACTCTATGACCCAGTGAGCAACCATTTGGATCAAGATCAATACTGTCACGGCCGAAGATCTTCACCCCCACAATATTTCAGTCGAGTGATGTCTCATTAAACTGTTTGACATGTTATAAGAAATATGAATGTGACCAGAGGACACTTGGCATGAGGTCTCAGGTTTAAACTCGGCACCCAAGTAGTCAAATGCAAAGTGAGCCGTGGACAATTCTCTTGAGATCAGATAGTTTTAGCTATTCATGAAGCCATCGTGATGATGTTTGAATACAAACCAACGAATGACAGCTAATAACACACTAAAATTGTTCTATGACGTGCATGCCTCTTAGCGAGATTGAATCAGAAAATTTTAACCGATTGCACTTTATGGCATCAGTCAAATTTAAGAAAAACTATGAGGGTACGCATATATGACATCTAAAGAACATTAAATACCGTTCTGTGTGGGATTTTAGTATCTGAGCTACTCCAAAGCTTTTCCCTGTGAGTGAGGTCGATAAGACAAATGACATCTAAACTTGCTGTCGAAGCAAGTCACGGCAGAATTTGAAGCCCTAAATAGCGGTTTGGGATTCAAAGTAGGAAAAACACCCAGATGGATCTAGCCGTTGTTTTTTGTATCAATAAATGCTTGTATATTTATTCCAATACCCATTTTTCTAGAATTGTTTTGGCTAGTTTGTGTGGATAATTGTGAAAGTTCTTAGACACGACAAAGATTGCTTGTTACTAAATTGATGCTAAGATAACAAACTTCAGTCTGATTACCTCCTGTATGGTAAAAATTAACGACCCTTTTGTACTCTACTCATTGTAGCCTCGAAATAACATACCCTAACATGAACACGGATTCCCCATTCAAATGAGTAATGCCATCATGGAACGCATATTTACAGGGAACTTGATTTGCAATTTCTAGTGGCTGGTGATCAGCTGAAATTTGTAAAAGATCGAAATACGCACGCTGGGTGGGTTTCCGGGGCCAGGCCAGGTCACGAGTGCCAATTCAAGGCAGCATCAGGCTCCTAGATGCAGACCACAACTGAAATATCATTCCCGATAAAGAATTAGGATTCGACAAGTGGACAACCCACTGCTATTCAAGAAGCCAACAATTTTTAATTGTGTTAATTTATACAGCAATTCTGCAAAGCAATTCTGAACACCCAACATGGACGCCCGGTCTCGAATACGCTCCCGTGAGGCCCTGCCCGGTCATCCAGCCACGAAAACCCCGACTATCTCCTGTTGCTTGGTTCTTCCAAACACTCATGTTCTGCTTAGCACAATTTCTAAGGGGATGAATTTGGAGCCCGAACTCCGAAACACCACATTCGATGCAGAACTTTCACGGCCAGCCTGGGGAGGAAAACACTTGCGCCAAAACAGAATCATGATGAATATCTGATTAAAGAAGCTGCCACTCAATTCCTACGTGAGTTGGTTGGAAAATCTCTGCTTTAGCCTCGTCACTGAAGATACAACACTACAAAGCCACAAATAGCTAATAACCAAGCAAAAGACCAGTACACGACGCGACAAGTATCTTCTCGTACCGGAAAAGAGTACGTCAACAACATTGCTTGTGGTCCCAACAGTCAAATACCCCTAATTTTAAAGTGCAGACATAATGACTGTTAGTGACCAATAATGCGACACGTTTCGAAAGCGCAAACAAAACACAAAGTCGGTGCTGAGGAATAAAAGTGGCAATGTTCTTGTAGTGTTCATCGTAATAGCAATTGCAATAAAGGTTTGCGGTCACAAGAAAGTATAATTGGCCTAAAACGAGCCCCAATAATGGCGGGGTGTGGTGTTATCACAAGGAGTGTGGATGGTGATAGTCATATTCTTACAGAGGATGGATATTTACATGCAAAGGATAGCGTTCCTCGGGTGGGGAGCGCGCAGGTCTGAGGCCTGTCAATCATCACAGTTTTGGGAGAGCGAGGTGGGGGACATCCAAGAAAGCCAATACTTGGTCATCGTCCAAAGCTCTATGGAGGATATGTACACGAAAAAAAGCGGGTTTGGGCGGGAGAAAGTAAAGAAGCGACTAATGAGAAAAACTCCAATGACACGACGCCCAAGACAAATGCGGAGTCTGAAAGTGCATCTTTCGGAGATGAGTGGCGATCCATCCTCATACTAAGCGGAGGTGGGTTTCTCTAGCGGGCGCCGACACATTCGACAGTGATGCTGTTCCCAGTCTTTGAGCTGACATTCAACAGAGCAGTAGGCCACTCCACCACAGCAGTAATATTGAGCTTGTTCCAAACAGTAAGAGCACCAGGCGAGTTTTTTTGTGTTACGGATCTCTTTCTTGTGCCGGCGCTGCAACAACTTGACATATCTTTCCAACTGGTTAAGACGTTCAGTAGCTCTATCACGTTCAAGTTTCAATGCTTCAAGACGTTCATTCATTTGATGTTGAACACGGTCCTGTTAAAACGAAAATAAGTAGGGAGGAAACGAACGGAGGGGTGAGAGTCAAATACGAAGGACTGGCTCAAGTAGGAAAATCCATTAACTACGAAGTGGAACAATCGACATTATGGCTATGATTATGGTTCTTAACTAAATTCTACTTAATTCCAACCAACAAAAAGGGTGTATGGCTATGTACAGGGAAGAAAATGTCCTCCAAGCTGCAATTAGTAATAAAACTGGGATAGGTATTATTTGCGAATTATTGTTTAGTCGTTTTCTCGAAATTATTTTAATTGCTAAATTCTGGAAACATGCGTTGATCAATTTCAACACACAAACAGGACTTAATCCAGAATGAGACGAACAATCGTTAATTCCTACTCTACTCATCTTTTATTGGCAAGATAACTAACTACAGGAAACGGCTGCGTGTGGTGAGAAGGCAAGATGCAATGGAAGTAAATTTTGAATATATCCACAGATTTTTTGGACCCCTTAGTACAGCATGAGAAACTGATACTATCATCTAAAGTTGAAACTAACAAGGGCATGTAATTTCACGAAGACATAGGCAATGGCTTATATCGTAGCATTCCGGCCGAACGGCACAATGCGTAAGAGCCTACAACACAATCCGCAACTACGGACATGAAACACCACATTCATTAAAGTAAACAGGGATATAGCACTAGAGCAGAAATAGAAGGGGAAATCCAGCGCGACCCCATACGTCAAACCTATGTACAATTGACAGATGTTTCGAAAAATAGTAATTAACCATATTTATTTGAAAAACGACACCTTATAATTGTTTCAGTTATGTTCACATTGTGCGTAAACACGAAATCAAATTGTAATCTAGGCAGGAGATAATACATGCGAATGAGACCAGAGATACAACAGGTAACTGAGATAGCTAACCTCAATCGCTTTAATTAGGGCAGGCTCAGAGTGCAGAGCACCGGCATGCCCGTTGATTAACAGGTCACCAGGGGATGCGTCAACGGACTTCGTATCACCATTGAGACTTGAGCCGATACCGGAACTCGATGAGAGTGCAGCTGGCGACACAGACGAAATAGAGGACGCCGTAGTGGACCCGGGTGGAAGAGGATTTTGTCTAGTTAATCTACGTTCAACCACAGGAGGGTTTGCCACTGGAACAAGCTTTCCAGAGGTACTGGGAGTCGCATCGCATTTCTTGCCTGTAAAATATCAACAGCCATTCAAGGCTGATGCCACGACCAGTCTGCAGTCTTGAGTAAGCCAGATTAGACGTGTACGTATAGACAACAATGTATACATGGGGTCAGTGTTACCAACCAAGGTGACATTATTTTTAGAGACATCATTAGTAGACAAGACAATGTTGGCTTTCAATGAGATCCCTGTCACGCTTATTCGCCTGGAAACCGATAATAGATTTTAGAAACAGAGAGTCAATTACGCTATTTCAGTAAATAACTTGGTCTAGTACTTTCGTCGGAAACATGTGACAACGAACGGTGGATGATCATAAACGTAAGGAAATAAAACAAACCTTTTCTGCCATGGGCGTTGTTGACGTTACTCGTAGAGGCAACAATCTTATCTTTATTTGAGCAAACGCTCCTGGGAAAGGGGGCAGCAGTTGTTAAAGGGGCCTTATTAACAGCCAAGTCGTTTGAGCGGCGGGGCTTGGGGTTTGCGGAGGATGCTCCGTTTTGAGTCTAAAACCAAATTTTCGCATAATTTATGCGTAAATGGAACATGGAAAACTCCACAATGTTGAAATGGCAATTTAACTCATTGGATGGGTAACTAATAACTGAGGATTCAGTTAGACCACGTCAAGCTTGTGATTAACACAATGACGCAAAAGTGAGGTGTACCCACCCGTTTTGGGGACGGATTTCGAAAATATTTTGCCTCGCATTTGGTAGTACTTGGGAACATTCGGCGACCTATTGAAGAGCCGATACTCTCCAACAATGATGAATCGCTTTCAGTTGCGGCATCACTGTTTGCAGTACTATTTCTATCGGTTGTTCGAAGACGACTAAGTACAGACATCGGCTTTCGCGCTGGCGGTGGTGAGGAGGATTCCAGGGGTGATGAATCGGGATCTGAGTCGCTATCTGTTTCGACGGCCCTACTCATAAAGTGAGACAAACGTCTACCAGCGGGTACAGTGCTGGTCTTGGGAGGGGGAGGTGGCGGGGCAGTAGCGACAGAGGAAGTCATTGCGGCCGGTGTTGTGGAGTCGGAGGAACGAGAGGATGGCACAGCCTTTTTTGCGACAGAAGTAACGGCCACTGAACGATAAGTAGGACGTTTCGGAGTGGGATAGTCACTATCGGAAGAACTAGTGCTGCTACTGCTGCTCGATAGACTCGAGTTATCATTACTATCACTCAGGGAAGAAAGAGACACACGGCCTGAACGGCGACCGATACACGGAACAATTGAAGAAGGCCGAAGAGTATCACAAGAGGAGTTGGACGGAGACGGATCAACCGCACATGATTTGGCGCATACTTCCGTGGTCTTGCTGTGAACTAAAAGATAAGAAAAGGGGTTGCAAAACGTGATGCCATTGAACCATCACATATACTATTAACGAACCCTACCTCCGTTGCTCATAGCTTCAGTTGTCGTTCTAGTCACAGACTGTGGCGGTAATTTCCGTCCGACAGAATCTCGCAGCCTTTTGGAACCCGTTTTCATTGACGATTTTTTAGTAGTAACACTACTCTCGGAGTAAAAAGAACCTGTGGGAGATTCAACAGGGATGTCGGCATGCTTAAGTCCCTCTGCACTAACAAAAGTCGGCGTTCGTTTACGTTGATTCGCCGAATACTTTTCTGCTTCATCGAGAGCCCTCTTTAGAGATGCGGTCATACGAAGTCCAAGTTCGGTGGCCGTAAATGTCATCTGAACAGCGCTCTGCAGTGGCACAAACTGCCTTTCCCGACGCCCATCGAAACAGATAACTTCGTATCCGTCAGTGGTCTGCTGCAACACTTTACACGGCCGGAAAGACCAGCTACTATGATGATACCAAAGCAACTGATGGGGTCTTCGACAAGCTTCGACAATTTGTTTTTGATCCGGCTTACCCCCCTTCGAACGCAAATAGCAATCGACGCAGAGAGCAGATTCACGAAGTTCCTTCTGTACCACAGACCGTATGTGCCTCGCAGTATTTGTCATCTCTGCCTTGGGTCCATAAATAACAGCAGCATTATGTATGAGAAGATCGAGGTCGACCAAAACCGAGGTACGATTAGGGTAACCATCTAACGAAGAGGGGTTGTTTCGTAATTTTTCAGTGACAATGCGAGTATTCATTTGTTTAAAGGAAAAGTATCGATTGCGATCAGATTCGTTAACGTAGCCAACCGTATAAAGGGTACGCCAGGGAATCTTGCTCCTCATTTTCTCGAGAACAACAGCGTAGACAAAGTGTAAGTCTGTTGATGTTGTTGATTTGTCCATTGTGGTGTTTGTGAGACGTCTACAGGTCGGACATGGGGACGAGGGAGGGAAAGACACGTTTACATCTGCGTCCATATATTGTTCATCAGGAAAAGAAGTGAACATATCCGCCTCAAACGCTCGAGATAGGCAAGTCTCATGGTAAACTCGGAAGCAAGTGGGACAATTGACAACAGGACCGGGAAGATGGCACTGGAAGCAGTATCTAAAGGGATTTCAAATGAGCATTTAAATACTCCAGGAGCGCTATGTTAACCAGCCAATGTTGGCGTTACTTCAAAACGGGTAAAGTCTAATGGCTTAAAAAGGCCAAACTCCAAAATGCCCACTGTGCATGCAAGTCTTGACCACGGGCATGTAAGCAAGTACCAGCCCATACAAATGCGACATTATGCCTTCTATAGGCATTTTCCGGCTAAAAATGGCCAACAACACTGCACTTTCCGACTTAAGAACTACAGTAGCGGAGAGACTATTCAACGACACAAAGCCTGTATTTTATTACACATGTGTCAGCAACATACATTACTAACGCTTTTCATGATAAAATGCACTTACGAATCATGTTTTGAATTCTGAGGTATATTAGGCCAGTCAACTTTCTTATACCTCGAGCCGCTAAGAATTATACATTTGTCCCGAAGCGCATTGCTAATTTGCTGCTGAAGCTTAGTACTGTCGCATCTCGGGTCACGCTCATTTCGAATGTATTGCAATACAAAATCAAAATCGAGAATCTGTTCAGCAGACGGAACCTCGAGTGCGTCCCATATGTATTGAAGGTAGACAGGATCCGTATGGCGCCGTGTCGACATCACCTCCGGAGGTAACAAATGATGGACCCCTAGGTAAGCTTTGTTTTAACTTTCACTGGGTAATTAGCACAGCAGTAAGCAAAGTCAGGAAAAAGCAATTTTGCACAAGTAATTGAATATAACACTACTCTATCAATCGATTCGTTTAAACACATAAAAATTTTGCAGAAACGATAATTAGCCAAAGTGTTCACGTTTGATGACACGAATTAATTTTATTTTATAACGAAATATAAAATTTTGTCTCATCACGGCAATAACTTTAAGATCTTTGACTTAAATGTACTGTGCAATCACAAGGGCTATTAAATAATCAAATATATGAAAGTTTGTGTAATTTTTTTGCGATTTTGGAATCGAATTTTGCTGCAACAATTATTGCAAAACAATAACGTCTTTGTGGTATATCTTTTTTATTTTCCCCAATCGAAATGTAGGCGTTTTGGGGAGACCTCTTTTTAGATGATACAGCATCAAATTTTGGTTAAAGGTGAAAGTTTACTCTACAAATGCGGGAGTGCAGTAAATCAAGGAAAGAGAGACTTAAAAACAATCGCAGATGTTTCTATTGTTTCAATAAATCAAGTTATTTTTCGCATGAAATTAAATGGAAAAAATTGTTTGCTCACCTAGATTTTTAATAGCTTTGCTAAAGGGACTTTTAAGACCTGAAAGTGCTTGAAAATTACCTTAAGATCTGGAAGAGAGACAAGACAGGCGACAGCTGATACGGCAGTTTATTTGCGTCACACCAGTCAAGTGTCTCTGTGCGGATAAGAATGCGAAGTATAGGCAAATTATAACAACAATCAAATGAAATTAGACAGTCATTGACGTCTTCAGGTCAGTTAGTAGGCTTTATTCACGCGCCATCGCTGATAATCCGCTGCAAATATTCAATTAACCCCCCCCCTCATTAAGGTAGCTGTGAAACAATAAACCCTAAAAAGTTGTCGAACAGAATCAGCCAAGTGAACAATGGGTTTAAGGGGTTCATCTGATCGCTTCTTAAGTTGATTATGTTGGTGGAAACAAGAAGTGTTCTGCTGTCATCGTTGAGCCTGTCCATTAGTTTATTTATTCTTGGTGTGATGTTGGCTACTGCTAAGCTGCTGTGCCAAAGAAGATTGTTTGGTTTTCCACTCTTTGAAAGAGACAGTCATGATTAATATTAGCCATTTCTACAAGTTTCTTCGCCGATATCACAGCTTTAGAACCTAAAGATTGTGTTTCTGCTTGAGTGGGGGAGTCTTAGCCCGTAATCGTCATAAAACTGAAACATCAAACCTGTTACTTCCAAACACGACGCACATAAGCCGAAGGGGTTAAGAAGGAGACCAGCCAACTAGTTCAATAGCGGCTGGTCTCCTTCAAGCTGGTCACTTGTGTGAGAACAGAACTTATGTGAGAACAGCATCTTTCAAAATTAATTTTGTTTCCAGAAGGCTTTATTCCAGGCAAGTGGCTACCTTCGACAACAGCAACTCTAGGTAGCCATGCAACGATATCTAAATACTGAGAGGAATTAGAGGTAATTTTAAGACTGCAAAATTGTTCTCCATTTGCACAAATCAAACTCGAGGGTTGTAACTATGGGGAAGAAGGCTGACAGGAATAATGCTTCTCAAACGGGGGCATGCAGTAGTAAGCTCGGATATTGTTTACCGAGAGGGGGTTGCAAAATTTTCAGAGAACTCAAAAATAAACTGCTGTCATTTAAATGGGTCACCAAGTATATTACCACGCTTAGCACTACCATACAGCTCCTTAATTAAAAGTGTCTATACAGCCCGGAGAGAGAAACATGACAGATGACAGCCGATAATCCGCTGTAGGCAATATTAAGCCTATGGATATTTAAACTTTAGCCCAAACGATACTTTAGCTTATTGTTTACTTGTTACGACTTCGCTGGCCATTTTCAACCGAAAAATACTA